GACAGACAGACAGACAGACAGATAAACGGATGCCAGACTAGCTGATTGAGTTAGCTAAACATTAAAATGATATTAAAGGGACAGACAGACAGAGATAGGTAGATAGACAAACAGATATACAAGTAGATAGATAGATAGATAGATAGATAGATAGATAGATAGAGACCTATACATATAGATAGATAGATATATAAATAGACAGGCAGACAGACAGACAGACAGATAGATAGATAGATAGATAGATAGATAGATAGATAGATAGATAGATAGATAGATAGATAGATAGATAGATAGATAGATAGGAGTCCATGGCAGACAGAAGAGGAGGTAGAAGTTGATGGAAGAAAAAGAATGAGGAGCTGAGAAGCAAAGAGTGATGAAGGAGGAGGGAGAGGGAGACAAGTGAGAAGAGAAAATTAGGGAGGGAGAAGAGAAGAGAGGAGTGTGAATCAACAGATGCAGTGTAAAAGAGAATGGATGAGTCCAGCAGCACAGAAATGAACTACACAGACTGGTCATCCTCCATACGTTAACAAATAAAACAATTTGCCTCCATTACAAAACAAAAAAGTAAATGTTTCTAATCATCAGCCAGTAAACGAAATAATAAGTGAAAAGCGCAAAGGTATAAATAACCAACCTCTCAAATCCTAATCAGTTGTCTAAGGATATGGTCCCCAACCCCTGTGCTGCGGACTGGCACAGGTCCATGGGTCAATTGGTATCGGGTACTGTTTTATTTATTACCTGATTCTGAACGATGTTTTATGAAAAATTACCGGATTTTCTCTGCTGCATTTGTCTATGACTTACACTTGATACATGTCAAGATGCTTGCCTCAGTCACATTTCTTACCTACGTCCACTACCTTCTTAAAACGTCTGCTGTGGCACATAACATAAAACACTGCTATAAAGAGCCTACTTTTAAGGCTTAAGAGCCTTAAAAGAAAAAGAAAGCTGCATTTAACAGACAATGCCAGGAGTCCTACTCGAAATATGGATTTATTGCGACAGGTTGTTCCCACGCACCAAGCCTGCACTTCATAACATGCGGCGAGCGGCTCTCTAATGAGGTAATGAAGCCTTCAAAACTTCATCGCCACTTGGAGACGCAGCTAATAAAGTTGCATACACAGTAGCTCAATGTTTATTATTATATTTATAAAACACCATTTTTTTGCCGGTCATATCATTTTATCAACGGCCAGTCCTGACATTTAACAGATCTGTGGCACAAAAAAGGTTTGGGACCGCTGGTCTAAGGAACAGTAGGTTGCCTCAAAGTCATTTTATATCATTCCTTCTGTAAAGTTTAGATTTGAATAAACCTTATAGATACACACTGGAAGAATAAAATACAGCAACAAATGACACAAGAGGATAAAAAAGATAGTAATTAAAAAAGAGAATACAGACTACAGTGCTGAGGTGGAATAGAAAAAAGAGACAATAGGTCAATGTCTTTTAAATGTAAAAAAAACCTGATGTTTTAAAAACACTACAAATGAATAAATATACGTTAAAAATAGGTCCCCTAGGTCATTCAACCATTTGAAGATTTACCTTTCTGTATGAAATGAAGCATTTCTACAGCATCATACTCCCAACAACACATAAGCTTTACTGCAGTAGCCGTGTGTTCTGAGGTACAGGGCTGTCCTTTACTTCTCCTAACAAAGAAAACATCTGAACAAAAAAAACCCCACAATTCTAGCTGTCTCATCTGACCTAAATATTTCTTTTAGTGTGTGAAATCTTTTTCAGCATATGTCAGATGGTGATCTCAAGACTATAGGGACATCTATGATGTCCATATACTCTGCACATGAGTCTGCACATGATGAAATGGTAACTTCAAAGAAATGTTGAAATACTGTAGCTGCTTCTGATTGAGTACCATCCCACTTCCCCCTCATGTCATGATTTCGTGTGCTGAAATCATTGTTTTCAGATAATTATATCATTTGTAAGTACGTACTACTTCATAGGACAATGTGACCACGGACTATGTTCCAACACTGCTGGTGCATTCTATCACATCTGAGTCTTCACCAAGCATCTCCTAAGAAAGTGAGACTTCACTGGAGAGATAGATGAAGGGACGGGAGTGAGACTAGTGGTGGAGATGAGATGGCAGAGTGGAGTGTGGGTAACCAACACAGTCAAGGAGAGCGAATTAGACAGGTGGAGGAAGAGGGGGGAGAGAAGGGGGATGGAGGAGGTGGAAGTAAACTGAAAACAAGAGTGAGCTAAAGGAAGAGTGGGGGTTCTGAAATATCGTGAAGTGAAACCAAGTGCAAAGTGAAGGGAAGAGAGGACAGTCATGGACGAAGTGGCAAATGGGACGGAGGACAGTGGAGACAAGGAGAGGACGGAGAGGGAAAAGAGGAAAATAAGGATGATAAAGGGGAGGAATCTGAGAGGTGAAAAGGAAGATGGTAAAAGGAGGAGGAAGGAGAGGAGATGGAGGAGGAGGGCAGCAGTTATTCATTAGAGAGAATGTGTTAGGGACTAAAGGACTGAGCAGGAGGACAGACTGAAGGGGTGAGTTCCATGAACACTCACTAATGAGAGTGGGGAGGCAGGGAGGAGGTGAAGGCAGAGGNGGAGGAAGACGAGAGTATTGGGGGGGGGGTTGGAGTTGAACGAAGCGAAACTGCTTTACTGTGTCACCATAGGGGAAGGATGGGGGGAGGGGAAGGGAAGAATTTGCACATACACACACACACAAGCGCACACAGTCTTGAAAATGTAAGCCACGTGAGAGGGAGAGAGAGTAAGGAGGAAGAGCAGGAGGAGTGAGACAGTGATGAAGGAGGAGGGATGGGAGGGAGGCAGGAAAGACAGAGGAGTCATCACTGGAGAGGAAGTAGTGGGGGTGGTGGAAGACCTAGGGACACAGGGAGAGGGAGAGAGACAGAGAGAGAGAGAGAGAGAGAGATACAGGTATAAGGGAGTAGAGGAGACAGGCAAGTGCAAGGGATAGGAGGAAAGAAAGGAGGCATGGGCTGATGAGGAGAAAGGTGAAGGAGCAGAAACAAAAAAAGGATCCAGAAGAGGTAATGTATATAAAAAAGAGAAGGAAAAGGGGTGGGAGGGAAAGGGGGAGGAAAGGATGGAGGATAATTAGGGCACATATGTAGGAGGTGGAAGAAGAGAGGGAAAAAGTATTGGAAGATGAATGGACAAGAAAAATAAGAAGCATACATTATAAACAGTACACTATATAGGAGTGGACTGTGTTGAATTGATAAAGGGTAGATTTGAAATAAGGGAGCTCAGAGTAGAGACTGAATTGTAGAATGGGAAGGAGTAAATAGGATGATATATATGAGGGGGAGGAGGGAAAAGGATGCTGGTGGTGATCATAATGACGTCGAAGAGGAAGTTATTGTGATAGATATTGCATGCAACAGGTCATGACCGTAATGTCAGACCCTGTATGTATTTGTATGTTAGTATATGTACTGTAAGTATTGTGCATGTTGCTAACAAACACTCCCTTTTCTCATCTCTCCCCCAGCAAAGAGGTTTAAACACTCACCAAAACACACACAGAGTTTTACTTACCTAATCTTAAAATATATCTGCCAAATCACTACCTTTATTATATATATATATATATATATATATATATATATATATATATATCCATGTCTACATGATCCCTAGACTTGATCTCTAGACTCTCTAGTCTCTAACTGTAATTTAAATATATCTAAAACACATTCAACCTGTGTTAATTACCTAGATCAGAAAACAAGATGCTTACGTTAAAAGGACCTGTTTTGTGTTGTGTAGTTGCAATTGATATTGCCAGGTAAATGTTTGGGGACAGACACCATCTTAGAACACTCACAGTACTCATACTCTGAAAGCAGTCATGCAAAAACCTCTTTGTTAAATTTGTCCATCTTGTTTTCCAGCAATGGTGTTTGAAAAACATCAAACTATATATATATAGATACATTATAAATATTGTGTGAATTTACAAAGGAAACAAACTGCAGAGTTCAGGTTTCTGATCTTTCATTAGTTGCTAAACAGCTGTTCTGACCTGAGGAAGTGTCCAAATCTGGAACATGACTTCAGAGGATGTTTGAAAAGTACAAACGTCAGTACCTGACCCCAAACTCTGTCCTATCTATATCCTATTTGTAACATTTAAACACTTATGTAATTACAATATATATGTACTCTTAAAATTCCATTAATGTTTTTTATTATTATTATTTTTCACTTAGTGGTGAAGACCATTACACTAGAGAGCACTATATCCCACTATTATTATACAAGCATTAAGGAGAACATAGTGTTTTCTTTAACTATCACTCTTTTACAGCCAGGTTAAGGTTATCAAGTGTAGATGGATGAAAACGAATAGCAAACCAACGTCGCAGTCTCCACAATAAGGACCCACCACTAATTTAAAAAAAAAGGAGCTAACTTTTAGATAGCAACACTTTGTGCCTTAAGGTGATTGGCTGTTTGGTTTATATATATATATATATATATATATATATATAAGCAATTCTATATTAAATTTATAACGATTGGGACGGGCATAATAATAAACAACCCCCAGCCCCACACTGTACACCTTTAAAAGTTATAGACCACTCACTGCTTCATCTCTTCTCCACCACCATGCTTACATACATCAGCACAAGTCTGGACAGCCTGGCTCAGCACTGAGATGCACAGTTGTCGAATCCCTCCGCCGTCACACTGGCAAGTAGTCCTTAATTTATGAGATTTTGATAGACAAGAGATTAAGAGTCTGGGACATTGTTTATTTCGACACGGCTGTGTTGTATATATAACGATTTTGAACCAAAGTGTCCATAATGAAAATAAGTGTGGATAAGAAGGTAAAATTATTGTATGTTAATTCTTCACCAGAATACAATTCTAAACAAATGTAAAATTAAGGGCATCTGGCCGTAAAACGAGACAGTTTTCAAAAATACGTGAATCTCGCAGTGGACCAGATTTGATAGTTCTGTGGGACTATTTCTTGTCAATCCCAACGGCTGGTCGGTGGTAGGGAGAGGCAAACGCATCCTGGCGGACGTTCATCACTTTCCTCAGGGTGTTATCCGTCTCCCCGGCACACACTCACGGCTGCTTCCCTCTGTCCATGCACTTCACTTCATTGTACTCACTCTGGCCATCAATTAGGCACAAATTAAGCTGTTTTAGGTTTACTCCCTGTTTTAGCGCGTCCAGTAGGATTATACGGCGCGGACTGAGGCACGGAGAAGTTTTGAGGACGGCGAAAGCGGAAAGAACCGGAACGCAGGTACAGTGTGACTGTTATCTCCCACTTCTAACTACTATTCGTTACTAATGTAACGCCACGGTACAAGCTAAGTGGCTAACGTTAGCATCCCAACGACCAACTGGGTTTGACTTCATATTGCACTTTAGTGACGGAGAAGAAGGAGGGGGGTAATTTTGCCTGTTTTATTGTTTGCAATCCAGGATGGGTTTTTTACGTTCTTAACCAAGTTTTGAAGTTTAAGAACTAAAACAGTCTGCACAGTGGAGTTACCAGAATAAAGAAAGCGAGTTTTGCCTCAATACCAGTAGCACCACCAGCAGCAGTATTGGGAGACAGAGGAGTCAATCAGTAGTAACAGCAACGTAAGCGTGGAGAAAACAAAAGGACCCGAAAGTCTTGACACATAACAGCATCATACACAGAGGTAACTGCTCAGCAGAGATAGAAGAAGAAAAAAAGATTTTGTGAGCAAAAGTGGCTCCAGAGCCAAGCAACCACCACATGTATTTGATCAGGGAGATAAAAAAATCTAAATAATACAAAAGGATGGTAATATTAGTTAAGTAAAGTCTACTACATTATTCAAAAGAGAAAACTAATTTGGTGGTTTCAGATTAATGACGAGATCATAGGACATTAACAAACACTTGTACACAAACAGTGTTAACCTTAAATTTTAAGTTAAGGTTATGTATGGAAAAAAGTAAATTAAACATAAGAATTTTCCCTTAATTTTTCAAGTATAAACATACCTGAACTTTCCCACATAACCATCCCACACATTATAATAAATAAATGGTTGATGGGGACATATGTGATGACACATGTCTAGTCTGGTCTGGTCTGGTTTTTAATCGTGTATTTACTGACCATACTGGTATAGATCGAGGCTACCAAAGCCGTGTTCGAGGCTACCACAACTCCAAAAACTACTCGATGTGATTTTGGGTGGTTTCTTAAAGCTGTTTCGTATTTATTACCTTCGTTTTTTTCACTAGTTTGACAAACCTTGGTGGAGGTTTTGAGAGATGTACAGTGAAGCGTGAATGTTCGAGTCGAGTGATTTTCCGGTGAAGTTATGAGCAGCTGTCGTGGCTGTGGGGGACACCGGGAGCAGCCATACAGACAAAGACCCTCAGACGAGCTCATACACTTGTATTGTGTACCCAGAGTTCAGTAGTTGCTGAATTTTAAACTCGGAGCGTCCCTCATTCTCTCCACATATATAGTTTATCTTGAGGTAATTATGTGATCTATTGTTAGAAAATGTTGTGATTCTGGTCAGTTATGAACGATTTTCAAGTTAGATAACGAGAGATAAAGCCGAATTCATCCGTTGTTTTTCCGTTGACCGGTCACATGATGTGAACGTTCTTTGATGTACGTCAGTGCCAGGAGTTACAGAAAATAGTTTAGTTTTCACTGTCTGCAGCCGCGACCTGAACTGACCGTCTCGTCTTTTGTGCAACTGTGGAACTTCGGTAGCAGACAGATGCTGTGTGTTAGGGTGAGAAAACCAGGCTGTGACGTAGCACTGACTGTTGTTGATCCCGTGTGATCCACCATAGCACGTTTTCCCACTGTTATTTAGATACTTCTGTTTCTTGTTATGCGATGAGACGATGTACAAGTTCATCTCATTGGAGACTGGAAATAATGCGATACGGTCTAAAAATAGAATCACATTGAAATATCATAAATGTGTAACCGAATCTCCCAAGACTTGTTCGGTGTGGGTTAGGTGAGGACAATGCTCTATTAATTACGCTGCTTCTTTTCTATTAAAGTTGGGAAATAGCACATTGCTATACCAGTTAAAAACAACAAAGCCAACGAAAGGCATGAATAGTTTGGGATATGGCTATTCTTTATTGAGCATTGCTTTTGCACCACTGCTCCAGTTCCCAACATAAGACACAGGAAGTGGTGTAAATGTGATGTTGAAAAATGCTACTGGTTAATCAACACTTTTTGTGCAGGACTATAAGCCAGGAGTCTTGTCTGTTTGTTGGTTTACGATGGGTGCATGTATAAAACTGGAAAATATGACAAGGGCAGCTATGTTTTTTCCCCAACCTTTCTGATTGCAGTGAAATGAAGCTAGCTGTTTCAAGGCTAGCTCATTAAGGCAAAGTGTTAGCCCATGCTCTTTACCTCTTAATATGCTCAAAATGTCTTAAGTTGCAACATGAGTTTCTTATAAGACACAAAAACAATATACTAAACTCATTTTTTTATAGTTATGACTAAGGGGAAAACAGTTGACAAACATTGAACACACATGCATTTATAATATAGTTCATAAAAATAAAGTTAACTTAGAAAACCACATAATAATTATTGGTGCAAAACTGGCACAGTTAGCCATATAACTTTAATTGCACCTTTAACATGGTTGAGAACACTGTTAAAAAGGTAATTCCCTACCCCGATGGCTCTTCAGGTCCATTGAACCTTAACTGCAAGACAGGAACTGCTTATTAATGCTGGTGAAAAATATGTTTGCATGTCAACTGTAAAATGATATCTGTGGAGCTACAAAGTCTAAGCAAACTAAACTATTTGAAAAAAAACCCCAAGAACTGTTATTTTTGTGAGTGATTAAGTACAGTAGTGCTGTCTGCTGCTGAATGGAAGGAGAAGCAATGAAAATGTATACTGCAGGTGTACTTTTCCTGTTTGTAGACATGCCCTCAGTGATGGAGCGCTCGGGGGCCGGGGTCCTGTCCAGGAGCAGAGCCAAGACAGTAACTAACGGCAACAGCCAACCACACTCTGAGGAAGAGAGCAGTGATGAAGAGCATGCTCATGGTAGGCCCACACACATAGGTATACACGTGTAAATAGATCATCACTCTGTCTTTTGATTAGAACTTAATGTATGTATTATCCTAAAATGCATAATTATTAACTGGTTGTGTAGGCAGTGTTGGAACATATAGACATTTGCTGTGTAAACCTTCATCTCTGCAGCTGTTCAGTTGCATGAATTGCATTGCTGCAGTGCTTCTTTAGTCCCTGCTCACTGCTCTCCTCTGTCATCCCCTCCTTCTCTCCTCTACCTCCTTCCCACACTCCTCCATCCTTGTCATCCTCTGCCCACATACATCTTGGCTTCCTCCGTTCTCTCCTTCACCCACTGACTTTCTGTTGATCTTCAATTTTTATTTACAGATACAGTACAGTGCAATAATTTAGAGTTTGTCAATAGACACATTTCTAAGCACCACAGCATTCTATATCACTCTTTCTCAATCTTCCTCCATTTTCTTTCTCAGACAGTGTCTACTTTCTTTCTCTTCTTATTTATTTTGTTATTCTCTCATCTTTCCCCTTCTGTCTGTGTCCACACCCATTTCTTACCATTTACATTACTCCAGCTTCTATTTGCCCCCCTCTCCTCCCTTCCTGTCTGCCGTCCCTGTGGAAACAATAATCCGTCTCTTCCTCTTCTCGGCCTGCTTCCCTGCTCATCATCCTTTTTTTAACTACTCGTTTGTTCCAGACTCCTTCTCATCTACACCATTTCTTGTACAGCACTAATAACTCAAATGTCTGACCTACTCCTTGTAACACTTGGCTGTTTTCTTTCCTCCCGTGTGGAATTGTCTATCTTAAATGCCATGAAAATACCACTGGTAGTGAGTGATGATCGGATGAAAGGACAAGCATGTTTAGGCAGAGTTTTTAGGCCACTGTACATATGAAAACTGGAAAGAATAAACAGAATGGTAAACAAACAAATATTTGTTTGTATAGGGATTAGTTCATTTTGTTTTGAAGGTTTGGGTTTTTGTGTGTTTATAAAACTCTATGCACATTGAAAATGAAATAATCAGTCCATAAACTCTTGCAGATGTAAAGATTAAAAAAGCCTACAGGCCTGTTGTTAATTTATTATTTCGTATCTTCAGGAACTGCTCATAATCTTAGACCTGTTAATAACTGGTTGATTGAGTCATAATCATCTGTCTTGGTTTAATCCTAATTGTTTCTATGAAATAAAATATATATAGTAGTCTGTAAACATGAGAAAAATGTACTTAAGTCACTGAATTTCTCTCCAAAGAAAAACGTAATCATACTGTTATTCTTTCTGTACAGACAGTATGATCAGAGTGGGAGGAGACTACCAGGCACAGATCCCAGAGTTCAAACCAGGTGAGTTGACACAGAGCAAAAACATTTACAAATGTAGATGGTCATGAACGAAAAATGACGAGATAAGGGAGAAAATCAGTGTTTTGAAGGAGACGTTGGAGGTGAGCAAAGGACATTCAAATGGAGGAAGGAGCGGAATTGCTGATGTTGTGAGAAATAAAGGTCGACTGAATGATGTCATCATGGAACGCCTGGAATATGGTTGCAGGGAAAGAAAACCATTGCTAACGTGGTTGTCCCCTCAAATTTTCTTTTATTTCTTATCTAAGTGCAATTGATTGGTAAGCCATTGTGACTTAACTCCAAAACAGGAAGTTGTCCTGCTGTGTTGAGGTAGTGAGGGAGGAGAGAAGATGGTTACGGTGGTAACACCTACCTCTCTGATCAGCTTTTCTCTGATTTCATCAAGTCTCATCTCTGACTCGTCCCTGCAGATTGAAGATTGAGCCTGACCAGAGACTCTATAGAAAAGTGCAAAATGACTAGTGGTCAATGAGGGCAGAGTGAAAAATGATTGAATGATAATAAAAAAGAGGGAAACATGAAAGGTAATGATTGGTTTTGTTTTCTTGTAACAGACAGTCCCAACCGCTACAATGAGAAAGACCAGAGGAGCATGTTGGTGTGGTGTCCCAACAGTCAGCTTTCTGATGCAATGCGTAAGCGGGACACACTCACACACACACACACACACACACACACCTCCCAACATCAGCTGGCTCAAACTTACTAGTCTGACCTGATTTTGTTACAAGAAAACCTTGGCTTTTAAACCTGCATTTTAATAAATTTCTTCTGCTTTTTTTCCAGTGGATGAGTACATTTTGATGGCTAAAGAAAAACATGGATACAACATGGAGCAGGTAAAAATCTCAGCCCGTGTTACTGTGTGTTTTCTTTCACCTTTCAGTCTTTCGGTCACTCTCCTGACTTGTTACATTGCCCCCACCATTCCATTAGGCTCTAGGCATGTTGTTGTGGCACAAGCACGATGTGGAGCGCTCCCTGGCCGACCTCGCCAACTTCACCCCCTTCCCAGACGAGTGGACAGTGGAGGATAAGGTGCTGTTCGAACAGGCCTTCAGTTTTCATGGCAAGAGCTTCCATCGCATCCAGCAAATGGTGAGACAAGAAAACAACAAACACATACATTAGTACAATATTTAATTCATCAGCAAAAAATGTAATAGATTTTTTTTTATATTAAATACTTACACTGTCAATTGTATGTATTTCTGCTTAGCTGCCAGACAAGCTGATCTCCAGCTTGGTTAAGTATTACTACAGCTGGAAGAAAACCAGAACCAGAACCTCAGTGATGGACCGACAGGCCAGAAGGCTGGTCAGCAAGAGAGAAAAAGATGACAGGTATGAAAACTCATGAAAGTTAAATCGTTCCTGAGGGGTAAACCTGGTGGGTTTGGGGTAGAGAGAGATGTCTCTGAAAAACAGAGAGTGAAAATCTTAAGTATTTCAGGAAGGACAATGAAGAAAGTACTAAGATGAGGTCCAAGATTTCTGAAACTTCTAAAAAAAATAAACTAAATAAGCAGAGGTCAGTGTGAAGGAAAGGGGCTTTATAATTTTACTTTCTTTTTATCAATTATTGTCTTATCAATTCATTTCTCTCTTTTTTTTTTGCGTCACAGTAATGATGAGCTGGAAGAAGGAGACCCAGGAAGTGATAGTGACTTTGAAATTGACAACAAGAAAGAGGTAAGGATTCATGTCTGAATGGTGTTTGACACAGGTTTGCTCAAAGCTCATTTTAATGAGTGCATTGTTTGTTCACTTATCTTGAAGTCAGTGAAGCAGAACACCAGCAGCACCGGCTCTGAAAAGGCCATGCCCAGTCGGTCTGGACCGATAAAGAAGGAAAGCATCGGGGCTCAGTATCGTCACCACCCGCTCAGAGCTCGCCGCAGGCCACCGAAAGGCATGCACCTAGAGCAGGGCGACATCATGGCCCTGTCTACCTCTCTGGATTCTGGAGTGTTGACCATACGGCAGCTGGACACACAGTTGGTGTCACTGAAGAGACAAGTATGAATTAATACTTTTCATCTGCTGTTTATTGCATTGTCAGAATAAACTGTGTCACATATACCAGAAAGAACAATCGAGTCACATGTTGCCATTTTTGTTGGTATATTTGACCAGAAAGTTTTAGCAATTATGTATATTGAGAGTAAAGTTGAGTAAAGTAATTGTTTGTATTTGTACTTGGTCCAAAAGATTTTGTTTAAAGGCCTCAGAATTGGCAGCTAAAAAAAATGGCAGCTGTTGCCTTTGCATCACCTCTCATCATTCTCTCTCCTGCTCTCCCAGGTCCAGTCCATCAAACAGAACAACAGCATTTTGAAACAAAGTCTAAGCGAAGGTGTGAACAGTCACAGACCTGCTGAAGTAAGTCACATTTTACTGCAGTATTTCTGCCATGCCATGTTCAGCTGTGTGCACTGGTTGTCGTCACTTGAATTTTTCTCTAAAGTCTCTCTCCAACATTTTCTCCTCTCATTGACTCGTTGCCTTCAACCAGCTTCTTCAAGATAGATAATTTCACCTCATGTCAGACTAAAATTAGTCTTAATATCCTCTGTGGTTCAATGCTTATCTGTGTGTCGACCACCTGCTTTACCTCCTTCTTGCTCTAATCTCTTCCCTCCTCTCCCTCACAGCCTGCCTCAAAGATGAACTCTCGTTGGACCACAGAGGAGCAGCTCCTGGCTGTGCAAGGTGGGTGAAGGCTGCATCTGCAGCATCATCCTCCCACTGTAGACCCCCGTTGCTATGGCTATGTCTCAGTGCCCAGCAGAGTTTTCCAAATCCTTTCATGACAAAGATGATATATTTTTGAATAAATAAATGAGCTATACAATCTTATCAGTCATCAGCAGTCATTGATGAGTCACCGGAAGGACTGGAAATTTAATGCTGGTTTTAGGTGGCTCGGTATTTGTCTATTTAAAATAAATTTAAAAACAACATGGAGCTAAGTAGTCACCAGCTGCTTGTTAGATAAACTAGCTGTCAGTCACACACCTCTTTACCTTTGTCCAATTTCTCTCCATATACTGTGTATATGGAGAGAAATATATGTCATTGAATCAAAACACTTTTTGACAAATGCTCACAAAAATACTTGGATAAAGGTTTTCTCTACCAAGACAAAAACATGGTAATTGTAATGAATCATGATTCATCACCATTACTCATGGAGATGCCGTAAAAAAAGATAGGAACCATATTTCCTGGAAGTGGACCGGTTGACGACGTTCAGTTTGTCAGACAGTAAATCACTGTAATGAGTCGTCCTTGTAACTTTTTAGTGCCACTGGGACCTGGGTTTTATCTGCAATGAAGGCAAATTAGAACATATGTAATTCGGAGGTGGGGGGACAGTCATTCAAGACGAAGGTGGTGACTGTTGCTGTGGACAAGGTGTGTGACTGACAGCTAGTTTATCCAACAAGTCATGTATGTTGTGAAAACCTGCAGCATTATTGTGGTGATAAATCCACTATTTATGACTGATATAAAATAAGATGCTTTCACTGAAACTCATCAACAGCTGTTAAACCAATCAATAATAGCTGTAGTTTTACCATTCATTTCACACCAGAGATTTCTGCAAATTGACTGGGTTGGTGTTCATTCATGTGTATCTGGAAACAAAGACAAAACAGACTTCCTGTTAGCAGGTGTGGACGAGATATGTTCAGCTAGTTATGCTTAAAGTCATTAAACCTGCTTTAAAACATTGCTACTTTGAGCAGATCAGATTACAGCCTGAGGTTATTTAGCTTATTAATTGTATTATAACTAATGCAAACCTGTTTTTTTGTTTTTGTTTGTTTGTTTGTTTTTTTAAATCATTCTGTATTTCTTAAGTGCATTTAGGTATATTTCTGTATTTTTGGAAAGGCTCTTACAATTGACCCCTGGGGATCAATAAAGTATTGAGTCTTGGACTAATGTTAAGGACAAGGTTTAGTTGTCAAAAATGTATTTCTCTGTAAAAGAACTTGAGAAATACTTTATTTTATTTTATTTTATTTTTTTTAATTTTGTCCCTAACTGTGCCTGTTGTAAGAATCCACACATCTCGTTCATGATACTGGGTTAAAGTCCCTCTTTGCAGCTGAAGTCAGTCACCATTTTGTCTTTGAGCAAAGCATTTAATTCAATGAACAGCAGCAACAGCAGATGAAACAGGAAGTGAAGAAGCAGTGTGAAATGTGTGTCAGGATGTGAGAGTTAAAGCAGGTCAGAACTGACTGACTGACTGAGAGCATATGCACTCTGTCAGTCAGTCCTGACCTCAGTCAAGGTCATCAAAAAAAACCCACATGCTCCTCACTCAACATTTACAGTCACATCAGTCACATGTACTGCCCCAGTTCACTGACAACGAACGACTCTCTTTGTGATTCACTTTAACTAAACCCCAAACCTGTTTTTATGATTCCAGCTATCCGTCGTTATGGTAAAGATTTTGGAGCCATTGCAGAGGTGATCGGTACCAAGACACCAGCTCAGGTGAGCATCCCTGTCCCTGTGTTGCAGAGGTCAGCTGTCATGTGTAATTCTACAATCCCTCATTTCAGTTTGCCTCTATACTGAAATCAGGTACATTTTTTTGGTGCATCATATTTGTCACGACTCACCAATCTTTCTCCGTTCAGGTGAGTTCGTTCTTCGTCAGTTACCGACGCAGGTTCAACTTGGATGAGGTGCTGAGGGAGTGGGCGGCCGAACAGGTGGCCACCAACCGGGACCAGAGAGACCCCAGGAGGAGCGGGGAGGACATCACTGCAGCTCCCGACGGCGCTGCAGAGGACGATGAGGTGAGGCCTGAGAGGACGTACGTGACGTTACAGACACTTGTACTGTGCTGCCAGCAGCTGGACATTAGTCAAACGAGAAAAAGCATTTGTCAGAGACTATTTTTGGCAGCAAAACATTTTCAGTATTTTAACATTACAACAACATCTGAGCTGCAGGATAGTAGAGGTGTTTGTGTTTAACAAAAGGAAACTCTTGCCCTGCAAAGGAGTGTGGGTTAATTATTATTGATTATCTCCTTCAATAGATAATTATTTAAATAGGTGGTAAAACCCTGAAAAAGGGCGTCTGATTATAACTTCTATTTAAGTTCCAGCAAAAACAACCACAGAAAAGTATAAACAACAAATTGAACTAACGTTTAGCTGCAGCCAAATGAATGAAATGATGCATCCATTCACTTCAAAAATGCTCTTAATTGATTCAAGTCGATGGATTGTCTGAGCTCCACCCGAGTCTCTGCGTCAGGTTTGTCAGGAACAGATTTGACAAGTTGGGAAACAAACGAGAGTCGGTGCCAGTGAAATCCAGAGAGTTCATCTGAGCAGCAGCTGGTTCTCTAACAGCTGACAGTCACTCTCACACCTCTGCTTCTCTTCGTCTAACTGTAGTGCTTGTCATCCTCTCCTCACCTCAGGTCAAGATGGAAGACTCTCCATCAGACACTGCTGACAGTTCTTCCCCTCCCTCCTCCACCCAGACCACGTCCTCTCTCTCCCAGCCTCCGCCTCTGCTGCGCCCCGCACCTCCCTCGGCTCCTCCTAGCCTCCTCCGTCAGCCGCCACCTCTGCAGACGCGCCCGCTCCAGAACCGGGCACCCCATAATCACCCGCCACCTCCACTCATCCGCCCGGCGGTCACCTCTTCATCATCCTCCTCCTCCTCTTCCTCTGGGAGCACCAGCCTCAGGGCTTCGCCTTCTGGCTCCTCCTCCTCAGCCGCTGGGCAGTTACCTCCATCTCTGGTCGGGCACAAAGTGGAACAGTCCAACTCACACTGATGACACACACACCTACACACACACACACACACACACCTAGATACACATGACAGTAGGAGTAAAAATGCACACATAAGCACCAGTAGCATGGTTAAAAAGGTCACACATTGGAAACTCCTTTACGCTGTGACGTCATTGCTGTCCGAGGCCTTCCCATGTGTCACATGACCCCTGATTCATTAAAAGCCCCATGAAGCATGAAAAGGTGTGAGGTCCCCAGAACCCGTACTCTTCATACAGTGACACACACTTTGACCTACCTCCAGACCATAGCTCACTCACGCAACACACACACACCCAAACATACCATAAAACACTACAAACGTTGGAAGTCAAGACAAACACTACCTACACACACACACACACACACAAAGACACAAACCTCTGTGAACAAACCAAACAGTCTGTGGATCATCAGGCTGTGGGAGCAAACCCACCTGCTCGTCTCCATGGCAACAGTTGAACATCTGGACCTACACAGAGTGTGTTCTTATGCACGCACACACACACACACACACACACAGATATATATATAGAAAATATGTACATTGTAGATTTTACTGGACAGGTATCAGAAACAAACATTGTTCAGGAAAAGACAAAACATAACTGAGGAAAAGAAGAGCTGAGATATAACAGACAAGAGGAGGAGCTGCCGAAGCTGTTCCACTTCCCAGGAGGCCGAGTCAATCTCAGACTCACAAAGGAATGAGGTGAAGTGCCATCTTCTGCTTTTGTAAAAAAAAAAAAAAAAAAGTTCCCTTAGAGCAAGAACCAAACGCGGCGGGTTTTTCCTTTCCGAAATTGTTGAATCAGATAAGAGCAAAAAAAAAAGAGCAGAAGGTGATGTCGCTCCCTCTTCTGTCATAGCCATGTATTACTAGTATTAACTGGAGTGATGTTAAAATTTTTCTTTGACTATTTTTTTAATGATGAGTCCTAGGTAGGCAGTTGTTACTGTAATTAGTTTAGATAGTGCGTACTTTATTGACTGTGCTGATGATGATGATGCTAATTATTAAGGGAGTGTGAACATTTGACTGGACTGAACTCAGTTCTACTGCTGGAAGTCCAGCTGCTTTATATGGGATTTTCATTTGTCAAACGCAATACACTGGTCGCCAGCGAGCTTCTGTGCTAAGTGTGCGATGTGACAGATATTTAACTGATTGTTTTTTTGGTTTTTTTTTAATTTTGGTCTACACTGAACAAGAAAATGAAATGTTCTGCCAAAGTCTTGCTGTTGCATCAAAATCTCATTGTCGTTTGTTGTCGGACTTATCAAGACGTCAGATGTGGTCCATTATTGCTTTACTGTCTGTTTATTTAATGTGTCAGAGATTCAGGTTGGGTGTTTACTGTGGAGGCTAAACCAGCGAATGATGACCAAGAACCGACAGCTGTCGTCTGGTTCTGTGCAGGAAACAAAATCAAAACAGCTCTTCCAAAGCCGCATGTGAACACTGAGTTATTTGGACACTTGATCTGCACTCCTTCACAGATGAAGCGTGTTGATGAGTTTGGAAGGAGCTTGTTACCTTTGGTGTTCCCTCCTGTCAGACCTGACACAGGGATTATGACTTGGTTCCACTACTTGATATTTCTTTTTTTTTTTTTTCTTTCAATTGACTAATTCTACTTTTTTTTTTTAATATGTGCTTGATGACTAAGTGAAGGCATCTGGGTGCAGTTAAGGCAGCTTACTTTCTGGTACTCCCAAAGTCATGTCCAGGCAAAAGAGGAAGAATAGGAGGAAGAGGTGTTGGAGGTCCAACAGGTTAGAGGTTAAAGTGGAAGACATTTCTTGAACAGCCTTAAATGACTGAAAAGTGTCTTTCTTTATTTTCCTGCTGCCTCCACTCACATTCCAGTTCATCACTGCTGTGTCTCAGACAGATCTGGGATTAGACACTTAGGTCTAAACCTATGAAGAGTCTCAGTTCTGCTAACGTCGACAGAAGCCTTCCGCAACGACTTGAACACGAGCAGCCATCACTGCTTTGTTTGAAGTGTTTCACGTTGTCACCTCACTGGGACTTGATTTCTTCCATTTGTTGCTTGTTTCCAAAACTGCTTGTGTGTGTAACTATGGGAGAAGCTGTTTACATTGTGGAAATGAATGTGTTTGACAAATGCCCCTTTTTTTTATAGAAATAAAGAAATTACCAAATAATATGGGTTTTACATTTACTTTGTAGCACAGTGGTTTGAAGGAAGGGTTTTTTGTGTTTATTCTAATTTAACAAGGGTTTTTAACTGCAGGGTGTGAATGTCACTTGTGTTCATCACCTGTTCACAAACACCATCTGTTGACTCCCAACAGGTTGGTTCACCCGTAGCTTCCACATTCCTGAGCAGGGCTTTAACGCAGGCACTGAGCGTTTTACCTTAGCTTCTGGGAAGGAACCGAGTCGTCTGCCACTGAAAAATGAACAAAGAAAATGTCAGATTCATCCTCATCTTAGGACACCAGAAAAACTGGATTGATTTAATTAAGTTATAAAATGGATCTGTGTTTGTCTAACATCAAACTAATGAGGTTCAAATAGAAAGAACCCCACAGAAAATACATTTATTTATTCTGTAATTAAATGCATCACAACTGTGTGTTGCTGAAAAAACTTGGTAATTAACCTTAAGAACACTCCATTTTGACCTTGAAAGGTCAGAGGAGAGGAGAGCTTCATGACGAACATACGTAATGTCTTTTAAAGAAAAACTGTAAAAAGGTTATAAAAGGTTATCACAGATGAGTTCCACATTCACGGTATCAGAAGGTTGCTGGTTCACTGTGACACCACGCTGACTCACTTCAAATGTGGTCCAGTCGGTGGAACAGGACTGGGAGCACTGAGCCATGCTATCTTTGGTAACGATGTGCCAATTTGGTAACCAGTTAAACACACTACGAGCCGCAATCACAATCTACAGACACAACGGCCAATGTACACGGTACACCTGTTCAGCTGCTGGTCAGTAAGAAAAAACACGACAACAACTCATCTTATTGATAGTATAGATGACAAAAGTTTACACAGACTCCAAACCGGAACCATGTGTGATTTCATTTCTTGTGACGTTAGAGTAGAACTCAGAATTCGGAAGAAAAATATCGTTCTGTCGTCACTCAACGGATCAGGCTGGTGTATTTATATATTTATGTGTATGTGTCAGGAGTGATCTGTGACAAAAAGTGTCAGGAGTGATCTGTGACAGAAGAGTGTCAGCTAAGGTGAAGGGAAAGGTTTACAGGACAGTGGTGAGACCAGCCATGATGTATGGTTTAGAGACAGTAGCAATAGGCAGAAGACAGGAGGAGGAGCTGGAGGTGGCAGAGTTAAAGATGCTAAGATTCTCTTTAGGAGTGACAAGAATGGACAGGGTCAGGAATGAGGTCATTAGAGGGACAACACAGACAGGAAGGTTTGGAGAAAAAGCTAGAGAAGCCAGATTGAGATGGTTTGGACATGTGCAGAGGAGGGACAGTGGATACATTGGTAGAAGAATGTTAGAGATGGAGCTACCAGGTAGGAGAAAGAGAGGAAGGCCAAAGAGGAGATATATGGATGCAGTGAGGGAGGACATGCAGGTAGTTGGAGTCAGAGTAGAAGATACAGAGAACAGGGAGAGATGGAAATCAATGATTTGCTGTGGCAACCCCTGAAAAAGGGACAAAGCCGAAAGAAAAAGAAGAAGATAATCGACCAAAAAAACAAAGGACCGCAGGACGGAAACACGAAACAAATCCTCAACAATATCACATTCATGATACCTCATTAATAAAACGTACTGATGTTTTACTGTAAAGTACGTCACTTTTGTCAGTTTAATAATCTGTTAAAGTAATAACCGGGTCAGAACTGACATTCCTATTGTTTATTAAAATAAATAGTTGTAGTTCATGCCATTTTGTAGCACCTCAGAGTACTGGGGTTTGGGGGGGATTAGTGAGGAGGGCAGGGTTAGGTGTTGTTTAGACAATACAAAGTGGTACCGGAGTAACATGAGGCTACAGCAGTAGTTCACAATGTACAGGCCTGTCCCCGCCTAGGGGGCGCCAAATCACAGATGAGGTGAAACAAGAATCAAAGGCCGGTCCTGGACTACATTAAAACATTAACTACGACTAACTTCCGGGGCCACAGACGTCCACACTATAAGCAAAATAAATAAACTAAAACACTTTCATGTTTACTGTAACCTTCTTTCTCTTCAAACCAGTATGACTCAGATGTCAGCACAGTATAGGCACACATTTAGAGATAATATAATTATTTCCAAGATTTTTCCAGCATAACTTACTTCTCCCACTATTAAAGTATCTTTCCTTGGTGTTGCACCAGGAGGTGAGCTGGAGGTGAACGTCCTGTTAAATTTAAACATTCATTAATATTTTAAATGGCCGACACCTTACCTCAGGTTTGAAACCAGTGAAACCTCAAGAGAACGGAACAGTTGGACTACTTCCACCTTTCTGTAACTGTGAGCAGGAACTGAAAACGCTCCACAATAAATGAATAAAACATAAACTAGTGTATCTTTGGCATAGTTGTGCTTTTTTTTCTCAAATTTCAGCTTTTTCCACTGCAGTTCCATTCATTACAACTGCAATCAGACAACAGCAAGGATATTTTCTCAGACTGCTTCAAATTAGACTTGCTAATTTAAAACTGATTAATATGCAATCATTAAAATGTGTCATTTTTTCCTGTCAGTAAAATGTTGTTGTTGTTGGGAAATATTCTATTTGAATTATTTATGTGGGTTTTTTTGTGTGTTTATTTTCATTCGGTGTCAATCAGCGGTGTGGGGAACAACATCTATTTTTAACAAGAAATACAACGATCAATTACACTATGTATTGTAAGCATATAAAGCAGTGTAGACAGAGAAGACAGCCACCTCAAGTCTCTTCCAAAGTGTTGACGGAGGTGTACAGCGCCACCCGACAGCACAGCTCTGTGCCACATAGTCAGTCATATCTTTACCACAGCTAGGTGTTGCAAATGGATTCCAGAGTCACATTTATTATATCATTGTTTTTATTACTATCATTGTAATTTTTCATCATTTTGTCTTTGCACAAAAAAAACAATACATTTTTCAGGAGTTGATCACCCCTCCCAACCCCAGAACCCACCACTACAGTTACAGTTTGCTCAAAACACATTTAAAATCAATGTAAATTACAGCAATGTAAAACGAAAAAAAAAAAAGTAAAATAAAATCAACCCTGAAAGAGATAATATAACAGCAACAGCCAGAATAATAATTAGAATCCAATACCCAGCACCTTAATACAATGATCAACTTTAAAGGAAAATCTGACGTATTAAAAACTGAAAGAAAACAACTTGACAGTGTGTCATTGTGATAGAAAGGAGGAAAAAGTGTTGAGTTAGTTAAAATGGCTGACGATAACGGTCAGCCCGGCTCCTCTTTTTCATCATCTGTGTGTGTGTGTGTGTGTGTTTTTTTTTAGCTCTGATAAAATACTGCGTCAACTTCACAGAGTGTGAGAAGAGTGACTTTTCAGCTTTGTCTTTTATTGTGAAAGCGAGCGAGAGTCACTGTGACATTAGAAACATTCTTAAATCTCTCCTGTTTCTGGCTCTGCTTCAAGCTTTTGGACCGAAAAGGCTGTTAAAAAAATATATATCATCAAACTAAATAAAATCTAAATTTAAAGTGGACCAAAAAAAAAAAAAAATTAAAATGAGCAGTAGTCGTCATCATCGTCGTGGTTCCATACATGGAAAACTCCTGCACTTTGAGCATTTTTTTGTTTAATCAAAAACATTTAGAGATGTGTGTATGTGTCTTTGTATGTGTACACATGAGTGAGTTAAAGGTGCACTACACCAAAAAGGCAGCAATGATATGATCTGACACAACAAGTCCGACCCCCCGCCCCCCGAAATAATCCTAATCTGTACAAACCCAAAATTTTTAACGACACAAAAATATATTATCAAATTAAAAGCGGAAGAAAATAACTCGCTATCCGTTGTTGTCTTCTTTTCTTTTTGTGTGTTTTTTTCTCTTCTTTTTCTCCAGTGATCTTTGATGATTAACTTACATACTCCAATGACTGTTGAGTGTTTGCTCTTTGGGAAGGTGTGACGCTGAGATGGGCAGGCAAGGGAAAAAAAAAAGACAAAAAAAAGAAAGAAAAAAAAAGCATTGGTTCTGGGTGGACGTTGTAGAAATGAAGGCGTGATGCCAACCAAAGTGATACCGACATTAAAAAAATACACATTATCTGGGCATCATCATTTCAACATGTATGTGCTGATGAATGCGACAACAAAACCCTCTACGGTTCATTCTTCAATAAAGGCAACATTCCATCAATCAACCAACCCTGTCCGACGACTGTCCAGGTGCCGACAGATGCCCCTCTGTTCCAGTGCACAACTCTGTTTAAAAAGCCATAAAATAAAAAATAAAAAATACAAAATAAAGGTACAGACTCACAGCTGAAGTCTGTACCAGCGAGGACGAGAAAACGTCTTGACTGGCCGCCTGAGGCGCGAGATGGTGGCAAAAGACATGGAACAGGTGGAAGAATAGGGAGTGATGAGGTGAGAAGATGGAGGTGTTTGTGCTGTGTTCAGTTTGATTAGAGGGAGAGGAAGATGAAGAGCAGGGGAGGTGAGTAAGGGGGAGAGAAAGGTGGATGGTGAGAGGACAGGTTCAGTGAGTGTTTAGGTGGAGAGGGTCCTCCAGTCATCGACAGCAGACTGTCCATCCAAAAGCGGTGTGTGTGTGTGTGTGTGTGAGAGAGAGAGTGTGTGTGTGTGTGTTGGCTCAGTTTGAGTCCATTCAAGTCCCGAGGACAATCACAACAAATCCAAACTCCTTTAGAGTTTTCCAGCAACATGAGGCTCCAAACACGAGTCAGTGGTTCAGACACCGGGTGAGAAAGTGTTGTCCAAAACCTCCTTGTCCTGACCCTCACTACCACCTCGTTCCCTCCCCACCCCACAGGAACCACGCAGAGAAACAGAATAAATAGCTGGAAGAAGTGACAAGAGTGATCAAAGTGTGACTGCTAAAAACAGAAAGAGCAGATCGAACATGCAGAAGAGTGGAACGTCTAAGTAGAACGTGATGAGAAAATGGAAGCCCAGCAGGGAGAGAGAACACCTTGGTCTGCAAGAACTTCACAACTCAGAGAAATCAGCTCAGAGTTTCTGATCGCAGGACTTCAACAACTGAATCAACAAAACCTCTAGAAATGAAATGATTTCTAGTCTCAGAGAACCAACGGCCCCACTCCAGACCTAAGTCGCCAAAACAACTGGGTTATCTTGAATGTGATCCCACCTCCTGACCTCCGCAGCGCCCCCTACCACCTACCGCGTCACCATCCTCACTTATCTAACCCTTCGCCTTCCTGCCTCCTAAACTCTCATCTCCCTGCGCTGCGTGTCCGCACTCACAGTTTCAGCTCGTTCGCAATCTTTGAGGCAATGTTCTTGAAGGCGATGGACGTGCCCGAGATCCGCTTGAAGCGCACGCCGTTGAGGGAGAGCCGGGGCAGCTTGCACACCTCCATCTCCCACTGGACGAAGTCGTCACGTGCCGGGTTGCCAGAGAGGCACAGCAGCATGTAGCGCTCTCGCACCTCGTACTCGCAGCTGTTTGAGTCCAGCACCTTGCGGATCTCGCGCATCATCTCTGTGGGCTCCATGGACGATGTGGTCTTCATGGACCAGGTGAAGCGCAGGGACCGAGGCTTTACTGGGTCCTTCTGGCTGGCAATGGCAGGGGGAGTACCGGTGCCGCCTAGAGGACAGGAGAGGTAAAACAAATACGACAGGTGGAAATGAGGAAAGGAAAAAAAAACTTAAGAGTTAGTAACAGCAGACGTTAGCAAAATCCAATTATTTAACCAGTTTCGTTTGATAGTTGAGGTGCCCTGCTGTCCCTCCTGACCACTTCCAATAAAAATGTCAACATCTGTAAATCTACCACCTTTCACTAGGGCTGTTTTTATCTGACGGTGTCTCTGTGTTGCAACATAAACCACTGGGGCCTCACTCCTTTCTGTCTTTTGAATCTTAAAAAGTCCAGCTAAACTGCAGCTTGATTAGGACACAAGGCGTCAGTACAATAGGGGGCGCTAATATTACCATAACAACAGCAGTGACAAGCTGTTTTACCTGTTTTAAGGCAACGTTACATATGTTACTGCTGTAAATTTGTACTGCTACAATTTTAAGCACAATACACAATGACACATGTCAAACATTTAAACCTTTCAGCTGCAAAAGAGGAACCTGTACCCACAGGCCTGTAGTTTTTCCTTGCAATTTGTTTTTTCAATTTTCCCTTATTTATACCACAATGGGGAAATGTCGTGTTGACAACAGAGCTGCTGCAACAGGAGGCACAAAGTATGTAGGTCCTCTGGGGCATGAACCCAGAACCTTCCAGATGTAAAGTAGATGTGTAAGGAATTGAATTGTATAACAATCTCCCACATACTACACTTTACAAATGTATGTCTAACACCAGCTCCACATGAGAACAGAAGAACGATGAACCTCGTGCTGATGGCCTAAAGTCCACGTACCGGTGTTACCAGATCCTGGTGAGGAGTTGTTCTCATCGTTGTTGGAAGAGGAGGAGAGGACACCACCAGACGTCTTTTCTGACTTGTCCACTGTGCTGCTCAACATAGACCTGGGTGATGTAGTGGGAGGGTGGAGGAGAAGGAGAGAACCACAGGAAGGATGGGAAAATGGTGAGAGTGAAAACAGGAAAGGTGAGGCAGAGGAGGGGAGAGGAGAGGGAGGAGGATGACAGAGAAGAGGGAGACAATAGGGTGAGATTTGGTTTTTATTTTTTTAAATAGTAGAGACAAAAAGAAAGAGGGATTGAAAGGAGGAAGATGATGAGGTAGTGTGAATGAATAAAAGACAAAGCAAACATTTTAAGTACCCTGTGTTTGTTTGTGTGTCTTGCACCATCAAGGTGCGTTTTTGTGTGTTTTGAGAGTGTGTTGGTAGGATAGAAGATTGTTGTGTGCACACAAACACACATTTGGGTACAGGGAATTTGATTTCTCCTCTCATTCATTCACACAGACACACGCACACACACACTCACAGATCACCATGCGGGTCGAACTCCACACCATCTCCAATGGGATTCTACCATTCACCACTATTTTCCCGTCCCCTGATTGGTTAAGCCGCTACCACCATCACCAACTGATTAAACGCCTTCTCCCGGCTCCTCCCCCACTTTCCCAGCCATTCACAACAAGCTTAGAGATCAGCTACTGATTGGCTCCAGGCTACTGATTCGCAGGCAGGCAGAAGGGTTGTTGGGATTTAGGGGAATTTTTCAGTTTTTCTTCAGACTGTTCTGTATCTCACCTGCTCCCCTCATCTCGACCCTCTCCCTCATACGGACTCCTCGAGAAAAATCAACACAAGTTTAGTCTTTTTTTTGTGTTCCAAAGGTGACATTTAGTCTCTGATAGATAACATAGATGGATAACAGGTAGGAAATGAGCTGACTGAAATGTAGTCCCGCAGCTCGCCATGTCACACTGGAGGTTCCATGACAACCACTCACAGCCTTTAAAACAGGAGTCCAGTCTGTGAAGCCTCTTAGTAAAGACTGCTGTAGCAGCAACGACTCGTTTTCATCAATCAACATGTTCATTGTCAACGGTGGGCCAGCAATTAGAGGCACCATGCCACTGCGGTCACTATTTAAATGAACACCGCAATGTTTTTTTACATTTACATTTAGCCAAATGTAAGCGTAGCCGTAATGTCATTGTTTTTATATTAAATTCCACTCATCTCCTTTTCGTCTTTTTTACAAAGTGGTATGTGCCGCTCTGCAGGAAAATCCCATGTTTGGTCTGAAGTAGATAGTGAGGAAGGACAGTAAAGTGCAGACTCTGCAGACTGTAGGCGGCCATCTTGTCTTATAACTTCAGTAACTTTGAAGAGGGTGATTAGGACACACAGAAGTAGAAAAGTCCTGTTCACATTACACTCTTCATTTTCACTACAATACGTCACTGGACTTTGTTCAGTTGCCTCAGATCCTATTACTAAATGGGTTTTTGCACCAATATACTGTGGAAAGTTGCTTAATTCAGATGCTAAAAATGTCCTTAGAAACTTGAAAGGACCTTAATAACAACAATTGGATATTTCTAAATATTTCAGACTGAAAGAAGGCTGGAGTGACAGGGAATTGGATTTGTTTAAACAAAACATGAGGATAATGAGTAACGTGACATGGATCAGAATGGAATGGTTTGGAACCCAACAGTCGGCATGGTGAGGGCGGGTCCTGTAGGTATGGAAGCTTTTACCTTTGTTAGTAACAAGGACACATCCACAAACACAGACTAAAAAAAAAAAGTTAAAACAGGTGCAACACAAATATTCTCTCTCACAGCAGCAGACATGAGACAAACAGACATAATGATGGGCAGGAAAAATACAACACGAAAACAAACAAAAAACAGGACGGACAACAGAAAAAGACATGAAGACGGTGGACAGAACGTGACAAATCCAAACAGTTTGAGATGTTAAATGGTTTCTGTTGAGGAAATTCATATTTGTTTTGTCCCAATTCCAAAGCCAAAAAGAATTCTTAAATACCTCCTGCAACAGAAATAAATAGCCAATGGCAAATTATAATTAGAAATATACAAAATAAATAGAAATATACCAATGCCTTAACTAATAATCAAATATAAATATATATAAATAAATATATATACAAATAAATAAAAATAAATATATATATGTTCTATCTTGGTGATATATCTTTTTTTGCATTTGATTTAAAATTAAGAAATGCACATGCTTCCACCAGGGAGCGCTGTCCCGCTGGAGACATATGATGATAGTTTGACCATCACATGCATATTCATTTCATCATTAAAAAAAGTTTTCTTATACTAAATGATCTTAAAATTGTTCTTTCACAAATGAATTAAGTTTCAATAATACTTGTACAACTTTCATCCAGCAGGTGGCGCAATGGTCCAGATTTTTAAAAAAGAAACTGCTCTCTCTGCTTACAAAAGCAGACAACACACTCAGGAACCACAGAGTGTGAGACACGTGTGGCTGTGAAACAGGTGTTCAGATTTTCATATGTAAATATCAAATGCGTCAAAGTATGTTCAACATCTGTGAACAGGAGAACAGTGTGTTTTAGTGTAAATATCTGACTCTGTGTGTGTGTGTGTGTGTGTATAAAGGCATGAAGGTGTTTTCCAGCCAGAGTAGGTCAAAGCCATCCAGTTCTGGTGCTGCTGTTGTTGTTAGAGAGCCAGTGCCACAGTGAGAACAGAGCAGTGAAACAGAGAAGTAGAGTGCAGCCTTCAGAAATAAAACAGAGTGGAACCTGAGAAACACTGCAGCTCCGTCCCTCCTGGGTCCTTCCCCACCTCTCTACCGCCATCCATCTAACAGTCGCAGCTACACACAGGGTCTCACTTCTACATAGTCTGCTGCGTTTGCAGCTTTGGACCCTATTGACCCTCCCTTCATTAAAGTAAATGTAATTACTGTATTTTCATTAATGAGGGCAGAAAGGTGAGATTGGCGTCGTTCACTCTGAAGCATTAGCAGGACTATGGTTAGCAGGATTATAAAACTTAGGGTGACGTTAGAAATCTAATTACTTGAAATGTTTTGTTTGAACTGTTGATTTTGGCTTTTGCTCTCACACAGTGGGGGGGGGGGGTCTCTAAAAGCAGGCAACTCAGGAGAAGGTTGTGAAGTTTTAAACATCGACTTATGATTTGTGTTGACACATTAGCAATTTTAGACAGGATTGATATTAACAGGAAAGGTCTTTCCTTTTAGGATCACCTGTTTTAATGATCCTATGAGCCACCGTTTTTGTACTGTTTTAGAATTTAAGTTGTTGTTCAATATTAGATAGAGAAGAAAGGGACCTTCTGATAAAACTAAGGCCATGAAATGGTTAAGATTAGCTGGTAGTATGATCTATGGCGTTATTACAACTCGCCCTAATTCTAGGGCACGGGGGGGGGGCGACGACATCACACACATCCGCACGCTCTACTGGGTAAATAAATAGGAGGGGAAGTCGGGGCATGGATGGAAATGTGGAAAAGGTGGACTGATGGAGGGATGAAGAGGAAGAGGGCTGAAGTGTTACTGTGCCGCTTGGTGATGGAGTGAGTTAAATGTGTGAGTGGGTGAGAAAGGGGAGTTAGTGTTAAAAAAAATATAATAAATAAATAATAAAGGCCAAACAAGGCACTCAAAACCATAGGGATAAAAAAAAGGGCCAACCACAGAAAAAATAATAGGAGAAAAGATAAGGCTTAAGGCACAAAAGAAAGTTGTTTAACAAAAAAGCTGCACAATTCACCAAAAGGGGAGGGAAAATATATATATGTGAAAAATATATATGAAGAGAGTATACGTATATGTATATCAAGGGGTTATTGTTTAACTTTGGGGATGTTGCCTACCTTCTCGGAAACCTGAACGACAGATTTCTACAAAAAACAAAAGAGGGATAAAGAAAGAAAGAAAGAGAAAAAAATATGTATAAAAACGTATAGATTGACTTTTGCTTTTGAAGACAAGCTGCCCTGTGTAGCAAAAACATGAGGAAAACACTCAGTCCAACATAAACCAGGCTCACGAGTGAATGAAGCAGCGAGCACAAAACAACATTAAACATTAATGTCAAACACAGAGAGCCAGGGCGTCTGCAGTGAGTCTTCAGTCTGTGTGGGGACAGGACTGACCGCACAACAGAACATCTGGGTGGAACCCAATGAGCTTTGTAGGACAATGTCTTTGTGAGACAGTGAATCCATTAGTCCTGGATGACTCTTTAAGTAGCTGTTTGTGACGTAAAAGAATTCACACATACAAAGTCACAGACATAGATCACAAAAATATACTGTTATATTAAAACTGGTCAAACCCACAGAACCTGAGAAGAAAAGGGGAATTGATTTATCCATCTTTTCGATATCATATCATCATAGATCATAGCCTGTCAGGTTTGTTTTCATCCTCTTGACCCATCGTGTCACAGACACAGTCAACAACGATTTCTTCATAACGTTTAAATACATCAGTGGTGCATCAGGTTTCTAGTAGTACCTGAGGAAATGATTATGGAAACCTGATTAACTCAGTGTTTACACACACTTGTTGGTCTGACTTTGAAATGCTAAAAAAAATGTGGATTAGATGTTGTTTTTTTTAAATTGTGATGCCAATACATTTATGAAACATTCAATTTTGGACTGATCAGGAGAACAGTTTAAGTGCTGACAGCATCACAGTCTTCTTGTACTGAAGAGCCAATATGCAAATGTAGGAAGCTTAAGTCAGAGATTAAAAAAAGAAAAAAGACTAGAGTTAAAATGAATTACTGCTTTCCAAGAATAGTTGAAAGATTAGCCAGTCAATGACTCAGATTAATGGGATCATTAGTCCTAGACACCAAAGTGTAACCCACAATGAGAAACATTGTAATTCACACATTGATGCTGCGACCAGACAAGTGCAACAATGTCAACAATTACTGGTGCTTTAGGTTTTGTTGTAGATACATGTTTGTTCTGAACTGTTCCAGGAACAGCAACAAAACCTCCGTCTCGGACACTTTAACAACCAGTACACCAGGTTCTGTGTGAGTGCATGTGAGTGAACGCATGTGTCAAGGTGTCCCCACTAGTGATATTTATAGTTAAAGGAAAGTGATATCTCTGGTGTAACCATGGATACTGCCGCCACTGAGCCACGGTGTCTCTGAGTGGGAGGCCTGCAGAGTGGCTGTATTTTTACCATCACCTCATAGACATGCACGCACGTGCACTTACAGTCAGCTACCACTATTGGACCCTCTCCTTTATTTAATGAACTATATCATCACAGTGGTCTGTATGTGGATGACCATATGAACTATATCATCACAGTGGTCTGTACATGGACGACTAACCACACCAGGCTGTGGACACAGTGAGTAAAGACCGTAGTCTCGTCCTCCCCGTCTCACAGCTTCTTATCTTTTCTTTTCTTACTCAATCCCATTTTTTTTTTCAGTCCTGTGTGTTACTTTCACCTCACTTCCAGTCTGGAAAAATATGTCTAATGTACAATCTTGTTATACTTTCAGTATTTAAACTGGTAGACTGGCCATTTTAAAATATCTTACAATGCCCTGAAGTATGACATATTTTCTTACAAAAACACAGATGAAAACAAAAGTTGAGAGGAACAACTAACCAGTAAAATACTTACAAAATTCACATAACACAATCCCATTCATTGTTAACTATATTTTTGCTCAGCTTCTTCTACATTATCAACAAACTCTCTTCTGTAAATTCAAAACTTTCCCTGGGTCGAGATATTCACCAAATCCTTGAGAAGTGTGAATGAATCTGCAGCTGAAAGCACTCCCTGGAGCACACGACTTGTTCTTGTTTGAGTAATTTCAGGTCAAAACGGCACAGCACAGCTGTTGTGCATTATTTAATCTTTTGGAGCCGTGTCACAGTAGGAGAAGCACAGGTGTAAATAATAAAATTAATCACTGCCAGCCTTGCAGGGGGAGCAGATCCATCATTAATGTTACCACCAACACCTGGGCCTTTCCTACTGTGACGCCTCAATATGTCCCACGGAAGAACAGAGTTCTTTTACATTTCACTCGACTTGGTGACTATGACAACAAAATTCTTTGTATTTGTTCCACGGACAATCGCAATGTATTGGAAGAAAAATGATTTCTCCCACATCTGGTGGTAATAACTGTTGTCCAATACTGCTCTTTGTCATGTTTGACAGAAATATATTTAGAGAACCTTCCGGACAGCACACAGAATCTTACGATTGTGGATCTCAAAAACCACGCTTAACTGTGAACTGCTCTGACCATTGAGCATGTTTTTGTTGCCTTGTACTGCATCTCTCAAGGTCTTGGTCCCAGAGAAGTGAACGGCATTTCTGAGCCACAGCTCATTCTTGCTTGAGTTATGGCTTAACTGGCTGAACCAGGAAACGTGCGTAACGTTAACCGTACAACTTTTTTAGCCCACTTTATTGGGCATGCGTTGCCGAGTTGAATTTCTTGATTTTATAAGGCAAGTGAAGATCCGGGGTTGTCTGGTTTGCCTCTAAAATTGATTGTGTTGTCACTAGTCACTGGTCATTAATGGTAGATTTGGCAGAACTTAGATCTTGTCTCTTTTTTTAAACTGACAAAATGAGCTATTATCAGTGGCAAAGACACCATGAAGGCATCCATGGGAGTAGTTTCAGCTGTAACCTGCACTGGAGGAGTGACATAAAAACTGGGCCAGACACGGAACCAAAACCAAAATTACTCCTCAGTCACCACAGCTCTAGGGAAAATTATAGAGAAGACACAGCTGTTGCTTTCCTCTCCCTTTCTACTCTGCGCACAGTTTCAGATGAGCACAAGTTTAGTGATAGGGATGATGAGATCAGATCAGCCCCCCTCTGAAAACCAGCGTTGACATGGACATACAGTAAAACATTCCTGGGAGGAAATGAGCACGAGACGACTCGTAACGTAGACCTAGTCATTTTCTGCTCCAAAGTGAAACCACGATACTTGGGGGAAAAAAGCTTTGGACTATACTTAAGTTACAAAGCAGCTGGATAATAAATAGAACGGTTGCTAACAACTGTTAACATTTATAAAACTTTCTTCTTCTGTTCCCTATCCAACCACATTTTGGTACTTCATTTCTCTGCTCCTACGCTTTGACCACAAACCTCTTCAGCCTTCCCCACTTACCCCAAGGTCCTGCACATCTTTTGTGTCACTCACCTGCGGACAAACTTGGATGTGAACTTGCTGAAAATCCCTGTGGCGCCGTGTGTCCTCCGGGTTTGGCTGTTGCCATGTGACAGTGATGGGGAAGCGGGCCCTCCAGGGTAGGCGGAGCCCTGCTGGTCCCGGGCACCCCGCTGCTGGCCAGCATGGAACGTGCTGCGGATGCCCACACCCCTGGAGAAGTTAGTTCGGTCTGACACAGCAGCACTGCTGATGTTGTGGGCAGACGGGGAGGCACCGGGCGCTCGCTGTGGTGGAGCACTGCAGACCAAGGAAGGAATAGAGAAAGAAAGCAAGGAGAAAATGAAAGGATAGATGATAACGGTGACAGTGAAGAGGAAGAGAACAGCACAGTGGAGGGTGTGGGGAATAAATGTGTGGAAAAAAATTGGAAGGGCCGGGAAGTTTGAAGATGTGACAAGAGAGATGGTAGTGCAGGTGCAAATGAGGAATAATTGACAGCAGGGAGGGATACAAATGAAATGCGTCAAGTGTGACGTGTATCAGGGGAGGCAAGAAGAAGGAAAATGAAAACAAGTGAAGCATCAGAACAGAGTGGAGGAGTGAAGAGGGGGGGCGAGAAGAAGAGTTAGATTAAAACAAAGACAACACTTTCTTTGAGAGACACTTACCTCAGTGAAGGCTTCAACAAGAATCTACAACTCCAAATCTGCTAAAACTCATGTTTTATTAACACGTTATATGGGGTTACACCAGGTCAACAAAAGACACAAGTAGAGACAGTTAATGGACTTATGAGTAAACTGGCATAAAACACACCTTTAAAGCCCAGCACTGTTTACTGCTTTATTTATTTACCACACTTATCTGTGTGGTAAATAAGTAGGTACACCCACAGCTTTCTCAGTGTGTGACCTGAGCACATCTGCAACTGATGGTAGTAACTGGCAGAAAATTTAAGAAAACGAGACACACAAAAGAATGCAGTAAAACTGCAGAAGATGCGGTAGATGGACATAGACAGACAAGTAGGTAGATAGATAGATAGATAGATATTATTGATCCCAGGCTACATTAGCTTTGCAGCAAAGCATTATTTTCTATTATATCTGAGTGATGAACATATAGAAAGTACTGTTACTGCACCTGAACCACGAGTAGACAAACAACATACACACATGCATGACCATGACAACACACTTGGTATTCAACAGGGAAAGAAGGGCTGGATCAGGCTAACCATCGGAAATGTATAAACAACTATCTACAGTCATAGGAAAAATACAACCTCTACCTTAAAGCAATGATGATGTACGGCACTGTGCCTCATTAGCGGCGGCAAACAAACACTGCAGAAGTGTTTGTTTGTTTGTTTTTTAGAAAACCCAAATCAGTTCACAAAAAGTGTATCTTAGTTTGAGAGAAGGATGTTTGGGGGAAAAAAAGGAATCCATGAATATTTAAGGGGACCTCTGGCAGTGTTCAACACACAGCAGTGTTGTTTGAAAGTTGCTATTACTGTCAGTATGAAAATTTGGTTCATTGTGGACAGAGTACGCCACCATAGGAACTTACTAAGAGATTCAGCTGTTTGTCACCAATACACACAAAATATCATTATTAGTGCTACGCAACAAGAATTAACAAATTCCAAGGCAATGTCTAACACATGAGCTAAAACATGAGCCATGTCCAGATAATTAATAAACATGCACAGTATGAAATAACCTGAGAATGAATTGAGGATCCAGACTCAAATGCATGAGTGTTAATGCTGCATGTTTCCTATTGAAACTGGGACATGGGAATGTGGTACAGCGTGTGTGAACAGTCAGGTTTGCCAGCAGGGTCAGTGGTCCAAGGTGGACCAAGTCGGCATTGTTCTGTGGCATCATATATAGCAACACAGTATGTGTAAACTGCCAGATTTCTCCTTTAAGATGAAAGGCTCATGGTAATCGTAAGAAAATAAAATAAAAACGACTATTCCTCACTCGGGGTACATTCCATGTGTTGGATTGGTACCTTCTTTCCAGCGTTCCAAACCAGGTTCTGAACAGCCCAAGCTCACTGTTGAACGTTGGATGCAACAAAACGAGACTTCATCATAAAGCTCACAAAAGCAGTGACAGCCAGGGGGGCACCTTGACATTTGGGATGTTGAAATTTAAACTTGGCATTTGTGGATTTTTTCTTTATAAGGTGTCTATCACACGCAGGGCATATTGGTTTATCGTGGTATTTAAGATAACCAAGCCCCGTACCTTCAAATGCGACAGTATGTAGGAGTAAAGAAGACTGAAAATATCAAAGTAGTCCTTCAGATACTGTCACACCAAGCAGTCAACACAAAACAAACAAGCCTCAGACACAAACAAAACACAAAGACACTGAATACACATGGTGTAAGGACAGATGGCATGAAAGACAATCAACAGACTCCAGTCATTCATCTATATCAGAGGTCTCCAACCTTTTCGAGCTACTTTTACAAAATGAAAATGGCTCAGAGCTACCCATGTTGTGTAACATTTATTTTCATAGCTCAATTTGACCAATCAAGCTCAATACGCTTTCTAAGCATTCACAATGTGTTACTGTCAACATATCACAGTTTTACCAAAGTATTATTTTATTTCATTTTTGTCAGTATCTATATTATTATTATTATTGTTTGGCATAATGGCAGTCCACAAAGAACATCCATGTATACATGGTCCAGTATTGTTCCTCCATTTTGACCAAATGAGCCGTTTTATTTTTTAATGTTATTTCTGCAGAATGTTGCTGCGCAACCGACTGCACTCTACAAGTGTTTGCCAATCGTCAAGACGCAGCATTCACACTGTGCAGTAGCGAACTTAGCTACATGGATATTAAGCTTTTTTTTTTTAATCAGATGAATTACGTTATCAAATGTTTGTTTGATTCATTAGCCTTTGACGAGCTACTTGGAAAGGGGCGACGAGCTACTGGTAGCTTGCAAGTGACGCATTGGAGGGCCCTGATCTATATATAATCGTAAAAGGATTACAATGAAATAATTAGGCTGGGTTTTCCCAAGTATTTCCCATGTATACAAAATAATATTATGGAAAGCAAGACTTCAAACGTCTAAACACAAGACTGATGTTTCTACCATAATCAACCGGGAGAAACCCCTCTGTCAACAAGCTCAAGATAGAAAATGAACAAACAAAGGAGGAAGGACTAGGACAAGCAATCATTTACACAGGTCACATGCAGCAGATTACACCGAAAACATGAATCACATTTGTCTGATTCCTCCCAGAGCTTCTGCACCAAGCATTTATCTGTGACTAAAGGTGACACATGCCCTGTAATATCTTGGGTTTTACAAAGTGTGTCAACAGACCGTTGCACTCAAGGGTTTTGATATAACACCGTACCACAACCTTTTTTTAGTAGTTTAGTTTTGATGGTAATTGCCTTTTTGGTGATGTTGAAATGAAACAAGAATGGTGAAAGAAAAAAAAAACTGTAGTTGGTCAGAAGAGAAAAACCTGCTTGTCTTGTCAAGAGGTTTTAAGAGGTTTTCAAGGCGCCACTGAGTAAAAGTGAGGTTTGAGCGGGAAAGACAGTTTCCTGAGCTGCAGCATCTCCTCTACTCTGTTGCTAAGTAACTCTGTGCAGCGCCTCGTTGTTTGAGAAAGTGACTGAGCAGTAACTCACTGCTACTCTGGCAAGGCAGTGTTATGTAATATGTTTGCTGCAAAACGAATGGGAGCTCTGCTTCCTGGTTCTATGTCGGAGAGGTAAAACAAAAGGGAGATCAAAGACTTGATTGATGAATACTTTACTGAAAACTGCACATGATAAACTGGAAATGTGTTTTTGTTAATTAACTCAGTTTAGCTGATGTGTGGAAACATTGATGCTTGTATTTCTTATTCATATTTTATGTAAAAGTTTAATGAAAAAAATGTCAGCCTATTCAAACATTTGAATTTTGTAAATATGTATAAATCATGTGTGTGTCTGAGTGTGTGTGCATGTGCAAGAGAGAAAGAAAAAATAAAGTACTAGCTGCTCTTTAAAGAAAAAACATCTCATTTGTAAATTTCACATTTTCTAGGATATTCAAAAAATTCAAAAAATCAATTGCTTTAATTAATCAGAGAGTTGGTTTTTTTCCCCTCCCACAATAACAGGTGCTTTAGGTTTTAATAAAGCGGTGGTGAAACTCATTGTTAGCAGCAAACAAATCCCATTTTGCCTCCTTCAGATCTCCGTTTCCTCCTCGTCCATTAGGATACGGCTGATCTGTGCTAAGAACATTTTAAAACCCTGTGTGTGTGTGTGTAATAGTGTAAGAGAGCGTATTAGAGACTTGCCTTGGCCGTGGTGCGTGCAGGTCAGAGGGGCATGGATGATTGGAGGAGGACAGGGACTTGTGGTGGCGGGGACGCGAGGAGGAGGAGGAGGAGGAGGAGAGGACGGCAGCGGCTGAGGCAGTAGATGTGCGGGAGCCCGGAGTGTTTAGGCTGGGAGGATGAAGGGGGAGGAACAGGAGGAGGAGTGCCCCGCCCAAGAGACACACAGACACACACACACACACACACACAAATCACCACAATACATACACATTTGGGCAGGGTTCGTGTGTGGGTGGGTGAGAGGTGAGATGAAGCATGGTTAGAAGCAGCATTTATTAAAGACACTAAGGGCTGATGAGGGAGGGAGGGAGGGAGGGAGAGAGATGAAGAAGGAGCAGGAGGGAGGGTCAGAGCAGAGATACAGGAGACCAAGATAAAGGGAGAGGACAGGAACAAGATAGAGGGTAAACATAAAGAAAAATTCTTTGGGAAGAGTCAGTTTGACAGTCTAGACTATTTTTTTTTACCGCTCCTGTTCTATAAACAGTGTATTACATAAAGGACAATTTAATCCTCAATTATTGTGTTTACGATTATAGCACTATTACTTTAAAAGAAATCATGCAAATGCTGCAAGCAACTGTAATCATTTTTTCTCATTAAATTATGCCATTTATCAAAAAAAAAAACTTTACAAGCTAAAGACGTCTAATGCCCAATTCTTTCTCAGCAATATAACCATGAGCTGCAAAGATCGTCACGCGACGAACTCTAACTTGACTTTTCTGCACATAAACAAACAGAAAGCGGGGAGTGGTACCACGGAGAGACAGAGGAGAGAGAGACAGAGAGACAGAGAGACAGAGACAGAGAGAGAGAGAGAGAGAGAGAGAGAGAGGGAGAGAGAGAGAGAGATTTAAAGAGACAGGAGTGGAGAGAAATGAGCAGTGAGGGAGAGACAGAGAGACATTTATAGAGGTCAAGCCAACAGCTGCCAATTCAAAGAAAACAAACACGGAGCCAAGAGGAAAACACACACACTCTTT